ACCTGAGGAGAGTCCACCCTCCCCTGAGGACAGTCCACACCTGAGGACAGTCCACCCCACACCTGAGGACAGTCCACCCTCCCCTGAGGAGAGTCCACACCTGAGGACAGTCCACACCACACCTGAGGACAGTCCACCCCACACCTGAGGACAGTCCACCCCACACCTGACTATCCATACCTGAGGACAGTCCACCCCACACCTGACTATCCATACCTGAGGACAGTCCACCCCACACCTGAGGACAGCCCACACCTGAGGACAGTCCACCCCACACCTGAGGACAGCCCACACCTGAGGACAGCCCACACCTGAGGACAGTCCACCCCACACCTGAGGACAGTCCACCCCACACCTGAGGACAGCCCACACCTGAGGACAGCCCGCTCTTGCCCAGGAGCCTGGGCCACCCTCTGCTCGGGCTGGATGGTATTCCTCTGCCCAGTCGTGGTGGTCTCAGGTCCTCTCGGGTGAAGGCCTGGCCCTCTCTGCCCTGCTCACTAGCCCAGCACCTCCCTGTCCTCCTTGGGAAGCAGCCTCTAGCCTGGGCTGCCCCTCGCCTCTCCAGGGCCTTCACCAGCTGTGCCTGCAGCGCCCTGGCTCCGCCTCCTGCCTCCCCTGCCCCTTGGCCACACCGTCCCTGGCCCTCACGGTGCCTGCCTGTTCCTGCTTCCACCCCTGCAACGGAAGCTCAAGGATCTGGGCCGCGTTAGTCTGTGGATGCGTCCCCCAATGCCAGGACCCACACCTGGCTCCCATGGGGCCCTCTAGAAATGTCTGTGGCATGCACCCAGGTGGCTTGGGACCCTCACCTGGATGTCGTGCGCTGGGCAAACCAGGTTGGCTATTTCTCTCTGCAGTCGTGACCGCAGCCCCGAGCAGGAGCCGGTCCCTCCAGACAGGATTATGTGGTGAAAGAGGGTCTTCCACTGGCGGGGGTGACAGGAGGAGATGCAGCGGAAGACGGTCATGGGCATGCCCAGGCTGTTCCTCTCTGCCAGGAGGGGAGAGAGAAGCCCTGGGGGCTGGAGGCCTGCCCCGTACCCAGCCCTCCCTTGCGGCTGATGGAATGGGCGTCAGGCCCTGCAGGGCGCCCATAGCCCCCTCCCCCGGTGCAGCAGGGGACTTCGATGACCCCAGGTGTGGCCAGGTGAGCATCCACAATGTAGTGAAGGGAGCCTGCCAACAACCCCACAGGACTGACTCTGCCGGCCCCCGGAACAGTGCATCCTCCAGGGGTGCCGACAGCTGTCAGTCTCTCAGGCCCCGTATGACTATGTTCTGAAAGGCTCCGCAGGGGCAGCGTCCTGCTCGGAGCCTGTGGACAAGAATTCTGAGCAACACTCTTGAGCCCACAGAATGACAGGGGCACTGGTGTGTGGCCATCTCTCAGACGCCATGCGCCTCTGAGCCTCTGTCCTTCCTTACATTGGGTGCCTTGGCCAAGGGTGAGGAGCTACTCACAGGGGCGGCTCAGCCTGCCTGGCAGGAGGCTCTGCCGGCCCTGAACCCTGGTCTAGGGTCCACCCAGACCCTGAAGAGGACTTGGATGCAGTGGCAGAAGGGCTCCAGTGACTGGTCTGTCCTCACGATATTCCAGGGGGGGTGTGTGTGGTTTTAAGACTAGGAGCTTCCAGGCACGCTGGGCAACTGCCAACCCCCCTAACCTACCCAGGACCTCTGGAAAAGTCCTGGGAAAGAGCCCAGGTTTTACACCTCTGCATCCCCCACAAATGTCACAGTCATTCCAAGAAGGGGATTCCACGGAGCACTTGTTTCCCAGGACTCCCCGGCAAACTCGTCTCCCCTTTCCTGTGACTCCGTCACCCGCCTCTTGCCCTGGCCAGTGCTGCCTGCCTGCCGAGGTCACTCAGCTGGAGGCTCATCTCAAACCTCCTGGTCAGCCAGATCTTTCCGATTCCCTCCAAATCTACGGGTTTCACCTTTCTGCCTCAATTATCTGCATTTTTGTATGCAAATTATTTTGTAAGTAGGTGGGGTTTTAAAAATATAATGCACCCGGGAAGACCTGCAGCCCAGTGGAGTCACGCACCACTCTTGGCAAATGATTCAAGACTCCTGGGGTGAGTTTCCTCCTCTGTAAGGCACGTGGACTGGAGATGGGGGCAGAGAAAAGGCCCCCATCTCCAAGTGTCCTCAAGGCCAGGGGCACACAGCGGGCACCTGGCGAGAGACAGCTAATACCAGAGGAGCCTGTCTGCCCCTCAAACAGGACCTCCTCCTGGGCCCAGCACCTTCTTTCCCAGGGCCCCAGGGCCTGTCCTGCTGCCTTCCCTGCAGACTCACCGATGAGGCTGGGCTGGAAGAGCACCTCGGGGCAGAGGAAATGCTCCTGCCTGAGGGTGATCTCCTGGCCATCAGGAAGCAGGAATTTGTTTTGGCAGGACAGCAGGTTATCTTTGGACTTCTCCTTGTTGAAGTCCAAGGCCACATAGCAGCACTTCTCTTTTATGTCCCTGACGAACTCTGGATCCCCTACAGGACACAAAGGAAAAGCCCCAGCTAGAGGAGGCAAGAAAGCAGCTCACAGAGCCCCTGCCGTGAGGAGGAGAGGCCCTGCCAGCTGCCCTCCATGTGCAGCCTGGACAGCAGGACCTCTTGTCCATGTTGCAAGGCCCTGGGCCTGCCCTGAGAGGGAGGGGTTGCAAGATGTCAGCATTTTGTAGGTTGAGACCCTGCCATGTGTGGTGTGCTTCGAGGACTAGAAAATCAAACCACATTGATTATTTACTGCAGTAGGAGGTTCTGCAAGCTGCTCTGGAGGACCACGCACAGCCCAGGGGCCCCTCATCTGGACACTCCTGGAAGGCGATGCCCACCCTTTTCCAGGCAGCTGGCAACAAATGTTAAACCAAGCTAAACCTCTGAGGTGCAATCAGGTGTCCCCGCAGTGCTGCCTGGAAATCCCACCTGCTCTGCAGCCCAGTGACTTCCAGATCCCACCATCCAAACTGCTCCTGCCCAAGTCTGTTCTGTCCTCCTACTTCTCCTGATGCCTTTCCCTTCTTCATCTGGTTCAAGCTTTAGTGAAACAGATCTGAGTTCAAATCCCAACTCTGCCATTTTACCAAATGCCTAGATTTCAGCAAATCCATTATTCCCTAAGCCTGCCTTTTCTTCTAAATGAATGAATAAAATTAATGGTCACTTTCAGGATTATATTAAGGACAAATGGAAATAATGCACATAAAAATCTTGCTAAATGTGATCTGTCAATAACATGCTGACTTGGCCAAGCCCAGCCCTTCTCATGTCCCTCTTGATGGGTGCCATCCTTCAGGGCTCCCTGCTTTGCTTGGCATTTGCCATGGACTTCTGGCCGGGAAGACCAGAAAGGCCGGTGCAGGACTGCCGGCTTGCTGGAAATGGCTGTTATACAGTTTGTTCAGGCTAGGAACATAGCCAAAAAGAGGGACGGGCACTGTCTGTCTGAAGTCCTTAGATTCATATCCTGAGAGCCAATACCCTCACTACTTATGGGGTACTGGCCAAAGACCCCATTCTTCCTCTGCCTCTTTGTCTTGCAATAGAAATAACTTTTCTCCCTCATAGGGTTGTGGCAAGAAACAGATAGAACATGGGTGGAGTGCTAACTTGGCCCAATGCCCTGCACAGAATCACCATCACCATCACCACCACCATTGTCATCACCACCACCATCACCTTCACCATCACCATTGTCATCACCATCACCACCACCACCACCATCACCACCACCACCATCACCACTCCCATAACCTTCACCATCACCTTCACCACCACCATCACCTTCACTATCACTTTCACCATGACCACCACCACCACCACCACCATCACCACCACCACCACCACCACCATCACCTTCACCATCACCACCACCATCACCTTCACTATCACTTTCACCATGACCACCACCACCACCACCACCATCACCACCACCATCACCATCACCATCACCATCACCATCACCATCGCCATCACCATTGCTATCACCACCACCACCACCACCACCACCACCATCACCTTCACCATCACCACCACCATCACCTTCACCATCACCATCAGCAGCAGCACCACTGTCACCACTACCACCACCATCATCATTAACTTCATTGCCATCACTGTCATTGTTTTGTCAAATTTTTCCATGCTGTGACTAGAAGACCTGAGCAAAACAACTGTGGAGGGGGAAAAGTTTACTTGAGGGCTCATAGTTTCAGAGGTCTCAATCCATAGAAGGCCAGCTCCATTCCTCAGGGTCAGGGGAGGCAGAACATCATGGCAGAAGAAGGTGGCAGAGGGAAGCAGCTCACAGGATGGTCAGATGCAGAGAGAGACTTCACTTGCCAGATACAAATATATACCCCAAAGCCACACAAACCCCAATTCCCCGCTCCTCCTGCCCCACCCACCACTTCAGTCACCACCCAGGAAGTCCCTATCAGGGGATGAATTCACTGATTGGGTTAAGACTCTTGGAACCCAATCATTCCTCCTCTGAACCTTTCTGCATTGTCTCACACTGAGCTTTGGGGGG